CTGCCTGGGTTGTCTTGACTCACTAAGTGTGCATATGGATGTGTGTTGGATGAATCTCCACAAGGCCACAGTAACTACAAAGAACAAGACAGCAATTCTAAGCTGGAAAACACAGAGAGGTCAGAGAGGGCCTGGTGTCAGTGTCATTCTTATAAGCCAGGGTAGAGAGCTCACTAAACTCAAGTTCATCAGTAGAGAATCGAGAAAAATCACGCTTGGCAGGTTCTAATCCCCAGCCCGGACCCACCAAACAACAATGACGGCTGCAACCAAAAAATAGCCGGGCGTTGTGGCGGGTGCCTGTGGTCCCAGCTACTTGGGAGGCGGAGGCAGGAGACTCGCTTGAGCCCAGGAGTTGGAGGTTGCTGTGAGCTGTAATGCCATGGCACTCTACCCATGGGGACAGCTTGAGGCTCTGTCTCAAAATAAAAAAAAAAAAAGAAAGAAAAATCACGCTTTAGTAAACTGGAATAAACTAAAGCCAGATGAAGGATACTCCAGATGTGCCCTAAAAATACTTAAAGAACACCCCTAAAGAAAAGGATCAAAGTAAATGTCCATAAGTAAATGAACAGCCTGCCAGTAGAAAAGATAAACTCCAAGTGGTCAATACACATTATTCAGCCTCAAATGAAAACTAGCAAACATATTTTTGTAGAAATTGAAAAGCTGATTTTAAAATTAATAGGGAAATAAAAGGACCTAAAATAGGCAAAACAACTTTGAAAAAGGACAAAGTTAGAGGATTTAAATGATCTGATTTCAAGACTTACTACAGGCAACAGTAATCAAGACAGTGTGGTACTGGGGCTAAGAATAGAAATATAAATCAGTGGAACAGTTTAGAGAGACCAGAAATAGACCCACTCTCATATGGTCAATTGATGTTTGACAAAGGAATCATGAAAGCAGTGGGAAAGAACAGTCTCTTCAACAAATGGTGTTGAGGCGGCACCCGCAGTTCAGCAGCTAGGGCGCTGGCCACATACACCTGGGCTGGCAGGTTGGAACCCTGCCTGGACCACCTTAAAAAAACAATGACAATAGCAATCAAAAAATAGCCAGGCATTGTGCAGGGTGCCTATAGTCCCAGCTATTTGGGAGGCTGAGGGAAGAGAATCGCTTGAGTCCAAGAGATTGAGGTTGCTGTGAGCTGTGACACCATGGCACTCTACCCAGGGCAACAGCTTGAGACTCTGTCCCCCAAAAAAACACATGGTACTGAAACAACTGGATATCCACAGGCAAAGAAAATGATCCTCAACTATACCTCATACCATACACAAAAATTAGCTTGAGGCCAGGCGTGGTAGCTCACCCCTATAATCACAGTACTCTGGGAGGCTAAGGCAGGTGTGGACTGCCGGAGCCCATGAGTTCAAGACCAGCCTGAGAAAAAAGCAAGACCCCATCTCTACTAAAAATAGAAAAACTGACACAAGAGGATTGCTTGAGCCCAAGAGTTGAAGGTTGTTGTGAGCTATGACGCAACAGCACTCTACCCAAGGAAACAGCCTGAGACTCTGTCTCAAAAATACAAAAAATTAACTTGAAATAAATCATAGATTTAAATGTAAATGCTAAAACTAGAAAACTCAGGAAGAAAACACAGGAGAATATACAAAGACCCTTAGGGCATAGGAAAAATGCTCATAAAAGAAAAAAAAGGATAACTAAGACTTGACCAAATATACAAGGTGCTCTTTGAAACATATCCTTAAAAAAAAAAAAAGTCACAGACTGAGAGAAAACATTCATAATATACCTATCAGACAAAAGATCTGTGTACCAAATGATAGTGAGAATGCTTATAACTCAACATGACAACCTAATTTTTAAATAGGGGCCAAAGATTTTACATGAATGGCCAATAAACGCATGAAAAGATGCTCAAAATCATTAGGCATCAGGGAAATACGGTTCAACACCAATGTGAGATACTAGTACAGTTCCTAAAATGGCTAAAGTTAAAAGATATATAACAACATCAAGTGCTGGTGAGGATAGGGAGCTGACAGGAATTAAATCAATGCAGAATGGAAGAGTCTGGTAGCTCCTCACAGAGTTCAACACAAACCTACCACATGACCTAGTCACGCCACTTCTAGGTATTTACCCAAGAGAAACAAAAAGACCAAAGACTTATACGTGAACATTTACAGCAGCTTCATCCAAAACAGCACAACTGCAGAAAAACTAAATGCCCAACAATAGACATTGTAATTATGTCCATACAATGAAATACTATCTGAAATAAAAATAAATGAAATATAGTCATAGACAACACCATGTGTGAACCTTGAAAACTTACATGAAGCAAAATATAAGGATGTGCAATGTAGAGCACATTTATAACAAGTTCTAGAATAGCACAACTAACCTCTGTGAACAGAATGTAGTTCAGTGGTTACCAGCGTCAGAGATGAGGACTGGGGACTCACTGCAAAGGGCTACAGAGACTTCTTTGATAGAAATGTTTTACATCTTGACTGTGATGGTGGTTGTATGGGTGTTTTATATTTGTTAAAACTCATTAAACTGTACACTTTAGATGTATTTCATTATAAAATTATACTTCAAAAAGGTTAGTATTTCTAAAAGTTCACCATTAGTTCCAGATGCCATCTTTATTATGCATAAGAACCCTTTTGAAAGAGGGAAAACACGTTTGATTCCAATTTAAAAATAGGGACCAAAAGGCAATATGCAAAAATAAACACATAACAAAGATTACTTAAAAGGACTGAAAATCTCTGGCCCTTAACTTAGGAAATGAATATGAAGAGATAACGTCCTTATTTATGTCTAGTTTTATGAAAAACACACAACACTTCAAGGAATGTACTAGCAAAATGCTCAACGACAAACTGAGATGTGATTCCACAAGTCCCTTTTTCTCCCATCCCTCCACTGGCAGACCTTCGCCTTTAATTTAACTGACCATGTATAGAATTGAAATATTCTGCATTAAGTCACACAAATAATCAGTTCCTATTCTTTAAAAAGTAAACATTTATATTTTTACTTTAAAAAATCTAAACATCATACTTTACTTACACAATCTGGCTCCTTTTTCAGTTGAATCATTAAGTGGGAGGGTATGAAAATCAATCCTTGATCTAATGCATGGTGAAAATAGCCTAAAGTATGTTGTTATTGACAACATGCTTTGAACCAGTAAAAATATAACTTCACATGTTATTAGTATTACTTACCACCTAACTTTTGGTCTTTAAAGTTTTACTCATTTAAGTGATACTATCATTATAATTTGATGTATCTACAGTTTATGAACATCATGAATAAAATAATACATCATACAAAGTTACAAAAAATACAAATGCTTCTCACAACAAAAGTGTCATGCATCAAACTTCAGCAAAAAAAGCTAAATATTCAACAGTTACAAAAGTATCAGCTGATATAATCCCCAAAATGTGGAAACAGCCTAAATGCCCACCAACCCAGGAATAGATTAACAAGCTGTGGTATACGTGGAATGGAATGGCTGCATGGAACACTCTGCAGCCATTAAAAAGATGGAGACTTTACATCCTTTGTACTGACCTGGATGGAAGTGGAACTCATTATTCTTAGTAAAGCATCATAAGAATGGAGAAGCAAGGGCGGTGCCTGTAACTCAGTGGGTAGGGAGCCAGTCACATACACTTTGGCTGGCAGGTTTGAACCTGGCCCAGGCTATCTGAGATAGCAGTGACAGCAAAAAACTAGCCAGGCATCACGGCGGGCACCTATAGTCCCAGCTACTTGGGAGGCTGAGGCAAGAGAATTGCTTAAGCCCAAGAGTTTGAGGTCGCTGTGAGTTGTGACACCACAGCACTCTACCCAGGGTGACAGCTTGAGACTCTGTCTCAAAAAAAAAAAAAAAGAGAGAGCAGGGCCTGTAGCTCAGTGAGTAGGGCGTCAGCCCCCATATACTGAGGGTGGCAGGTAGTATCTGGCCCTGGCCAAACTGCAACAAAAAATAGCTAGCCATTGTGGTGGGCACCTATAGTTCAGCAACTTGGGAGGCTGAGGCAAGAGGATCGACTAAGCCCAGGAGGGTGAGGGCGGGCAGTGGTTTGAGCTGTGATGCCATAGCACTCTATCAAGTGTGACAAAGTGAGACTCTGTCTCAAAAAAAAGAATGGAGAAGCAAGAATCCTATGTACTCAATTCTCATATGAGGACAGCTGATGACCTAGTACACGATGGGGGGTAGGGGAAGGGGAGAGTAGAGACAGGGAAAGAGAGAGGGGGTGGGGGGAGAAGGGAAGAGTAGAGAAGGAAGAAGAGAGGGGGGTGGGGGGGGTCACTGTGTGTAACACACCTTTTGGGGGCAGGACACAATTAGAGGGACTTTACCTAACAAATGCAATCAATGTAACCTGTTCTTCACACCCTCGATGAATCCCCAACAATAAAAATAAAATAGATTACCTTGGGGAAAAAAAAAATATCAGCTGGATTTAATATATTCCAAATACAGGTTTCTTTTCTATTTGGGTTTCAACCATGGAATTTTACTTCCATTCTATTAAAAATTACACAAATAACATCACATTAGACCAATCACAAATCACATCTAGTAAACATCTGATTACACGAAATGTTTCCACTATCATTAAACACAGAACAGTAGCCATCAAAAAAAGATAATCTTGGAATAATTTCACTATGATCAAAAGAATCAAAATTGAATATAATTGTTCTAACGCACTACGAAGTATTAGGAAAGGGAAAGCATCTTATTTAAAAACATGGATTCCAACTATTACATATCATTTCAAAAGTCCCCTAACGAACCACCATGTTGATTTTTACTAACCATAAAAGGAAATGGTTTCTGAATATTCACCCCCCTTGAGCACTAATCTTTACTAAGCTAAGATCAATAATCAAAACACCATCATTCCCCTCCATTAATGGAGATAACATTGTACATCAGGGTGTTATACTTAAGTTTCACTTTGGCTTTAGTCCTTTTTCTGCACTCTTACATTTTTGTGACATTCCTTAAGCAAGTTAATCAAGATGTTGCATTCTTCAGTGTGCAAGTGTGGAGATAAGTCAGGATGCATCTTTAGGAGAAGGTGACGAATCACAGCAGTGCAACCTGTGGATACAAGAGTATCTTGAATATGCATGACTGTTTGTTATTGCCACCTAAATGTATTTTTCTGTAACCGCCCTCAATGACCTTTATCAAGAAAGAATGTTAACTATTAACCAGCTATAACCTTTGGCAAATTACTAACCTTAAGGCTCAGCTTCCGTATCCAATGATCTAACACACTCAGCAAGTCCTCAGGAGAGTGGAGAGAACCTGCAAGTTCAGAGAAGAAAAGCAGGAGTCCTCAAGATACTCAAATGGATGCTCAGTCAGAAATAGCTCGCCTCTCTGTATTAATAAGCCTGATTTCGGATAGTTTCCCATTCCAAAAATTGATCACAACTCATTTTATTATTCAGGTGCAATGGTACTAATTAAGAGAACTGGCTTATTAATCCTTTTAAAAAATGTATGTAAGACCTCTGAGAGAGTTTAAGGGGCCATTAGTTAGTCTCACATTAGTGTGAATTAATATGGACTGCTTTCTTCTTCTTCCCTTTTTTTTTTTTTTTTTTGAGACAAAGTCTCCCTATGTGGCCCTCAGTAGAGTAGTACTATTGCATCACAACTCACAGCAAGCGCCAACTCCTGGGCTTCTTAAGCAATTCTCTTGCCTCAGCCTCCCAAGCAGCTGGGATTACAGGCACCCGCCACAACGCCCAGCTATTTTTTTTGCAGTTGTCATTGTTGTTTAGCAGGCCCAGGCTGGGTTTGAACCCCACAGCCTGGGTGTATGTGGCCGGCACACTACCCAGTGAGCTACAGGCACCGCCTGGACTACTTTCTTCTTAACATCTGGCTAAAGAAACCTAACAATGAAATGAAACAAGAAGCAGATTTTGAAACAAAACAAAACAATACAGATACACCCAGAAAACAAATTATTATACTGAAAACCTGAAGCTGGAATCTCTCAAACTAAGTTAAACTGGTTCACTCCAAGGCAGGGGAGATTAGTAGGCCTCGTCAAAGAAAAGACAGTATTTTGAGGTGACTGCTACAATTATTTAATGCTATTTACCTATTCTTTTTTTTTAAATCAATTCTTTCTAACCCGAAAATGATCACCAAAAGAACCAATTAGTTCCTTTTTATTTTTATTTTTTGAGCTGGACTCTCCCTTTGTCACCCTGGGTGGAGTGCCGTGGCATCATAGGTCACAGAGGCCTCACACTTGGGCTCAAGTGATCCTCTTGCCTCAGCCTCTCAGTAACTGGGACTACAGCCTCCAGCTACAATGTTGGATTGTTTTCAGAGATGAGGTGTCACTCTTGCTCAGGTTGGTCTCAAACTCCTGAGCTCTGGCAATCCACCAACTTAGACTTCCCAGAGCACTAAGATTAGGCGTTAGCATCACCCAGCATCAATTAGTTTCTTTAATCTTTTAAAAGCTCCCCCAAAATATAAACATTGGAACCATTCCACACCCCTTAGAATAGCTGCTATAAAAAAAAAAGTGTTGAGAGCATAAGGAGAAACTAGGAAACCTGTATACTCCTGGTGGGAATGTAAACTGGGACCACCACTATGGAAAACGGTATAGCACGTCTTCAAAAACCTAAAAAACAGAATTACCATATGACACAGCAATTCCAATTCTAGTTACATAACACCCCAAATTGAAAGCAGAGTCCTTAAGAGTTATTTGTTGTATGCCTGTGTTCATAACATATTATTCCCAATAGCTAAAACATGGAAGCAACCCACATGTCCACAGAGGTGAATGGACAGGCACTGCGGAACAAACATACGAGGAAACGTTAATCAACCCTAAAAAGAAGGAAATTCTGACATGCTACAACGGAGATGAACTTGGAGGACGTGCTAAGTGAAATAAATCAGTAACAAAAAGACTAATACTGTGCACTTCCACTTGGGTGAGGTACTTACCATAGTCAAAATTACAGAGACAGAGAGTAGAATGGTATTTGCCAGGGAGAGGGGCAGAATGGGGAGTTAGTGTTTAATGGGTTTTACAAGATGAAAAAAAGTCAGGGAACTATATGGTGGTGATGGGTGAGCAACATAATATTTGTTTGTTTTTATTTATTTTTGGTGCCATGACTCACACCTGGAGGGTGAAGTGAGAAGAACACTGAGGCCAGGAGTTGCCTCTAGAAAAAAATTTTTTTAATTAGCCAGGTGAGGTGACATGTGCCCATAATCACAGCTACTCCTCAGGAGGCTGAGGCAGGAGGACTGACTGCTTGATCCCAGGAGTTCAAGCAGGAGTTCAAGGCTACAGTGAGCTATGACCAGGCCACTGCACTCTATCTAGCCTGGGTAACAGAGTGAGACACCTATGGGGGCAGGGAGGATCAAACAGACCAAAAAATGGACAAAAGGTTTGAATTGCTAATTTGCCAAAAAAAAACAACACAGGAATAGGTTAATTATGCTTAGGAAAGATGCTCATTATCATTAGTCTATTGGGAAATGCAAATTAAAATTATAAAATACCATTACACTCACCAAAATAAAATGCTTTAGAAATATGGAGACACTGGACCTCATGTATTGCTACTGAGGATGTCAAATAGTACTAAGGCTATAGAAAACTATTTAGCAATTTCTTAGTAAGCTAAACCAAACTTACCACCTGACCCAGCAGTTGCACTCACAGGACTCTAGCCAAGAATAATGAAACCACATAAGACATGTATGTGAATGTTCACAGGAGTATTATTCCTAATAGCCAAAACTGGAAACTATCCAAATGGAAGATGTTGGGATAAATGGACAAACCAAACTGATAAACCAAATAGGTTAACCTATGTAATGCAATACTAGTTAGCAATTAAAAGGAAAGAACTACAGATGCATGTCTCCACATGGATAAGCCTCAAAAACCTTATACAAAAACTCAGATGCAGAAGACTATTGTATCAAACGTATGGAAAGGGAAAATTTATAGAAACAAAAAGCAGATCATTGGTTGCGAAGATGTTGGTTAATTTGCAAGTGGACAAAAAGAAACCTTTTTCGGTGATGAAATGGTCTAAAACTGAATTGCTGGCCAAGAGCAGTGCCTCATGCCTATAATCCTAACACTGTGGGAGGCCCAGGCAGGTGGACTGCTTGAGCTCTGGAGTTTGAGACCAGCCTGAGCAAGGGTGAGACACCCGCTTCCCACCTGTCTCTATTAAAAATAGAAAAACTAGCCAGGCCTTGTAGCAGGCGCCTGTAGTCCCAGCTACTGGGGAGGCTGAAGCAAGAGAATCGCTTGAGCCCAAGACTTTAAGATTGTTGGGAGCTATGATGATGCCCAGGGTAACAGAGTGAGACTTTGTCTCCAACAACAATAAAAATAACCTGAATTGTGGTAATGGTTGCATTAACACCACAAATTTACTAAAATTACTGAATTCACTTACAATGATTGACTTTTACAGTATGTACATCATACCTCAACAAAGGTGTTAAAATAAAGTTCTGAGAAATTCTAACTTCCATCCACCTCTCACTACCAACAAATTAAAAGTCTGAACAAATAATTCCAGAAAATTACAATACAGCTACTATTTCAAATTGCAACTTATAAAAATGCCAGTAGATGACTGTTCATTAACTACTAAACACACACAAACACAGCACAGCTGAAGATCACTAACCAGGCTGTTGCACCAAGAATCTATCTGAAATGAAAAATGAAAATGCAGTAAATCCAGTTTTCTTTGCCTGCCACTGACAACGTCCTTTGAATGACAGAAACATTTTCTCTCAGAAAAATGAACTGGAAATCAAAGGGTGGAAGTCGCAAAAGGCAAATGTTATCTTATTGGATGGCCAACAATGAGGCAGACGGTTGCATTAGGCTGAGTTACCTGCAGTTGTAACTTGTCCAAGAGAGTGGTGTGGTCAATTAAAGACGTCATAGAGTATGTTCTTGCACTGCATGCTTAACTTTCTTCTCTAATCTAGCTCACAATTAAATCATTTTAGGCTATGCCCCCAAATAAAATGTATATGCAAAGGAAAAACACTTGCTATGGCAAGTGGCTCACGCCTGTAATCCTAGCACTTTAGGAGGCCAAGGCGGGAGGATCCCTTGAGCTGAGGAGTTCAAGACCAGTCTGAACAAGAGAGAGAGAGACGCCATCTTCACTAAAAATAGAAAAATTAACCATATATGGTATGGGCACCTGTAAGTCCCAGCTACTAGGGAGGCTGAGGCAAGAGGATCTCTTCAGCCCAAGAGTATGAGGTTGCTGTGAGCCAGACATCACGGCACTCTCCCCAGTGTGACAAAGTGAGACTCAAGGAAAGGAAAGAAAAGGAAGGAAAACATTGAAAAGGTACATGTATCATGATTACAGCACCTCCCTGCCAGCCACATCCACTTCCCCAAGCATGCACATGATACCAAAACAGTCCACTAAAATGCTTTAAAATTTTTTCAACTGTGAAAATGTGATGTTTTGATATCTGGCTAACAGGCCCCTAACAAAACAAGTTTAACTTTTCCTTGGGACTTGACTGGGAGGGTAAAAGCAGTAGGGTACTCTCACTGAAGGCCTATTAGTCTTACTTCATTCATTCCCTCACTTTAGTCTACCAACTCCCAGGTAAAATCTCCCTACTGAGTATGGTAGCAGATTTCAACCACCAGGTGGCACAATTTTAGAAAATAAATAAATCAAGAGCAAGCAATATATTAATATTCACTGTAGCACAAATTGGTAAGCATTTTTTTTTTTTATTGAATGGTAACTATGTACATTAATGCACTTCTGGGGTACAGTGTGGGGTTTTCACATGCAATCTGAAATACTTCCATCAAGCTGGTCAACACAGCCTTCATGTCATTTTCTCAGTTATTGCTTTAAAACGTTCACATTCTACTCTTAGAAAGATTTACCTGTACCCCTATAAGAAAAACCTCAGAAGTGATCCCTCCAAGCCCCCTCCCTCCACCCATTCCCCCTCCCTTCTCCCTCTGCCCTCCCCATATTCTTAGGCTATTTGGTTATAGCTTTCGTATAAAAGATATAAATAGTTTCATAATAGGGGTGTGTACATTGGGTACTTTTTCCTCCATTCTCCTGATACTGGTAAGCATTCTAATAACACACTCTGGCAGACTTGTAATCACAGAACCTTGTACACGTATTTTAATGCCACTTGGTTATTCTTTAGAAAGATTTGGCTATTGTGCACCTGCACAGGAAGAAGTTAACACTACAGTAGCAATTTCTAATGGTGCTTTAAAAGAAACAAAAAATAAGGCCAGAAGAGTCTGTTGAGTCTGAAGAATCGGTTCTCAGAAAAAAACTGTAAACTAACACCTTATGCTTTCTAACACACATTTTTAAAAGCCTACATTCAGAAGGCCCTGATGTCAGTTAAATTATTATTTTTCAAACTATGAACCATTATCACAGCAGAGGTAGCAGACATAGCAGGGACTGCCAACCATACCCGCTTCTACTTGCCCCAACACAAAGTGACTGTATCTAAACCATTGCTATTGAGTAAGTTTTCTCAAGAACGTTGTAGTTTTCCTTGAACAAACATTTATTAGTCCTTATTAGATGCTCAGCACTCTGCCAAGTCAATTGAATTTCAAAGAAAAATATCAAAGAATACCTCAAAGAACGCACAGGTCAGTGAATGAGTACTCTTGTAAATGCACATCATAAAAGCCCTATGCTTGCTGAATATTGAATTCACGATGAGCGGAGACTGAGAATTAGTTCAGATTTCAATACAGTAAAAAAAAAAAAAAGGATGAAAAGAGGCTCGTTTAAAATTAACAAGTGCAAAAGCTTGTACGTATAGGAAATACAAAGGGCACTGCGGCAGAATTCCTTTGCCACTGCAAACTTCTATGCACTTAAAGCTTTAAATAAAGGTTTCCAAAACTTACTGAACGACTCTACATAAAATGCCTCCTGTGAAAACACAAACACGGCAAGTCTTTAAATTCAAGAGATCGGAACGTCCACTTTCCTCGCAAAGTGGGCTGATGGAGGGAGACCTTACAGGACTCTCGTGTCCCAACACTTATGAGTGACAACTTTCACTGAAGCTGAAATAAGCGGTAACAGACCCGCATTCTCTACACGCAAATTCTCATTTCCCAGATGAGCAATAACAAAGACATTTTTACTGAGCGCTCGGCGCCTCCAACTGTGTTAAGCAAGGGCTTCACTTCTCAAAGCCGACGCGACAGGTACCCACCTACGGCGAGAAAGCCAAGGCTCAGAGAACGGAGGAGCCGCCCAAGGTCACCAGGCTGAGTGGCTTTGCGAGTGAGCAAAGCCTGCCCTCAACCACCGCCTGTCCCCGTCAAACGCCGGAGGGCAGAACCCTCAACACGTACCTCCAGCCACCCCAGCAAATTCTCAGACGCCGCAGTCCAGCTGCAGCGCTGCCAGAATGAGGCCGCGGGGGCCGGCGCTGCCCCGGTCCCAGTCCCGGAGGGCCAGCAGGCAGCACCATAGAACTTGGCCCCCCGGGGAGCGCGCCCTCAGGGGACCGGAGGAAGGACACCGGACCGCTCCTCAGCACAGCCCCAACTCCCGAGACTCACCCGACTCGCGGCCACACTGGGAACGCTGAAGTGGTCCACAGCGGAGACGTCCTCGCCGACAGCCGGCGGCCCGGGAGGACAGAACAGGCGACACCACAGGCGGCGGACGCCCGGGCGCGCTCCCCGGCCGGCCCGCCCCCGCCGCACCTGAGGCGCAGGCGCCGCCCGGCTTGGACGCGCCCATTCTCGGGCACTGTGGGGGGAGCCGCGCGTGCTCCGAAGCACGGCAGCGCCTACGCAACAGGCCGAACCAACAAGCCAAATTTCATAACTGAGACTAAACTTCACTTAAACAATCTTCTCTACTAAGAAGAGTGACGCGGGGCCTTACCGAGGTCCACTTCTGTCGCTCCTCCCAGGCGGCCCCCAGTATGCCAGCTAGAGCCCAAACTTTGAGCTCTGGTGGGCGGAGCATGACGGCGACGGGAACTGCAATTGGTGGCTTTGAAGGCGCGGCGGGCGGGAACAGCGGCTGAGGATTGGGACGGCTGGAGATGTGGGCCGGTAAGAGAGTCCTTGGCGGTACAGGATCGGGCCCCAGACGGGTGCGGGAGCCTTGAAGAGGCCAAGTCGCAGGGCTCTGGGGCGCCTTTTTCACGACTGCGGCGTGTCCTAGGGCTCAACTCTTGATTCGGGTTGGAGGCGGGGATCTAGGAGGAGGTTAAAGTAAGAGCGGGCGGTGACGCGAGCGCGGTCGTGACGTCACTTCCGTCCGCGGTGGGGCGGGGCCGAGCGTTTAGTGTAAGCGCGCGGGTGCGGAGCGTGCCTTCGTGTCACGTGACCGGCTGCTCCGCTATCCGGAGCTACCGGTTGCCACCCTGTCCAGTTTTGGGGGTTTTGTTTTATCCGCGATCTCGTCTCGGCGTCCTTCATTTTTCGTCCCAGCACCCGTCGCATTACTCCTTACGGACCTGTTGCCGCTCTGGGCGGTGTATGTCTACAGGCCCTTTTTTGTCAAGCGTGTCTTGAGAACCTACTCTGTGCTGGCACTGTCCTAACGCGCTGGGAAGTGCAAGGAAAGTTTAAATAGTCACGGGGAAACGTTTATTAACGGCAAGGTTAAACACTCCACCAGATTTCTTTAGAGTGGTGTGCTGCAGACTTTACTCAGAACCCTCAATCCGGAGCCCTGCATGCATTCTGCCTCTGTTTACCTTGGTAAAGGCCCAGCATTCTTCATTTTATCAGCTGTCCCAGTTCCAAGTGCTCTTAATAGGAAGTGTTGGTTTGGTGGGAGTTCTAATGCTTCCCAGACGTACTGCTTAGGGTATGTAGTCATTCGTTCCACAATAGTCTATTAAGTTCGCGAGCTCCCTAGACTTTTGAGTAGAGTGACGCTGTTATTCGGGGGAGAAAACAAACGTAGTTCCTGCCCTGGAGTTCAACTTCAGATAGTATGGAATGTGGGGGAATAACTTGATTGAAGGTGTAAATAAGTCTGTCTGAAGAGAAGCTATCTAAGCTAGCTAAGACCTGAATTACAACAAGAAGTCACACAAATGAGTATGTGAAGGAAGAACTTTCTAGACAGAGGAGACTGCAAGTGCAATGACCCTCCTCCAAACAGATCTTTTCTTTTTTTTAATAGGGCTAAGAGGCCAGTGTAGCTGGACCAGGTCAGAAAGAAGGAGAGGGAAGTAAGGGCCAGACAACACAGGGCCTTGGAGACCATGGGGAAGATTTTACTTTTTTTTTTTTTGGAGACAGAGAGAGTACTGTGGTATCACAGCTTACAGCAACCTCCAACTCCTGGGCTCAAGCGAGTCTCCTGCCTCAGCCTCCCATGTAGCTGGGACCACAGGCACCCGTCACAACGCCTGGCTATTGTTTTTTGGGTTTTTTTGGTTGTAGCCATCATTGTTTTTGGCAGGCCTGGGCTGGATTCACACCCACCACCTTAGGTGTATGTGGCTGGCACCTTAGCCACTTGAGTCACAAGCACCGAGCAGAAGATTTTACTCTTAACCCTGGACAAGGAAACAAGTCAGACTCCATTTTCCTGATCCTGTCTTTTCTACAATTTTAATTAATTATTTTTCTCTTTCTAAACAAGTTAGTCATTCCTCTTTATTTTTGTTTTACAGTTGTTTTACAAATTGTATATTTTTACAGTGTAGTCATCTACCCATATCTTTTCAAAAGTGAGCAATGATAAATTATGTTCAGTGTTTAACATACACTTTAGATGACAGAAATAAGGTACATCCAGGGAGATATTCTTCTGGTAGTCCATAGAAAACTCAGAATTGTGATGGAAGCAGTGGAGATTGACAGCCTGCCTTCTGCCTTCTGTCTTAAACATGGCCATTAAGGCGTACATGTACCTTCCTAAAAATAGGCTATCAAAGGAAACTAAAGTCTACAGATACTCTGTTTAGAAGTCACACATACTAGGTTTTTATGTTCTATATTGAGAGAGAAAGAGAAGCCCATCAGTGTCCCCAAATGAGGTAGCAGAGTTAAGAATAGCTGTCACTGGCTCGGCGCCTGTGGCTCAAGCGGCTAAGGCGCCAGCCGCATACACCTAAAGTGGCGGGTTCAAATCCAGCCTGGGCCGCCAAACAACAATAATGGCTGCAACCAAAAAATAGCCGGGCGTTGTGGCGGGCGCCTGTGGTCCCAGCTACTTGGGAGGCTGAGACCGGAGACTTGCTTGAGCCCAAGAGTTGGAGGTTGCTGTGAGCAGTGAAGCCACAGCACTCTACCCAGGGGTACAGCTTGAGGCTCTGTTTCAAAAAAAAAAAAAAAAGAATAGCTGTCACCCTTGGCCTACAACTTCTGCTCTGAGGAGAGTAATACAAGTGCTCAGATCACACCTGTAATCCTAGAACTATTGGAGGTTGAGGTGGGTGGATTGCCTGATCAAGAGTGAGACCCCATCTCTAAAAATAGCCAGGTGTTGTGGCAGGCACCTGTGTAGTCCCAGCTACAGGAGGCTAAAGCAAGAGAATCACTTCAGCCCAAGAGTTTTAAGTTGTTGTAAGCTATTATGACGCCTCGGCACTCTGCCAAGGGTGACAAAGCAAGACTGTCTCAAAATAAAAAAATAAACAAGTGCTCAGAACCTCCCTTCCCAACACCACAGCTTTAATATGGCCCCTAGGTCATGCTCCTGGAGATTACTGTCCTTGCCTTTTGCTGAGGGTGCCGCACCAGATTTGGGGCTCAAGATCTTTCAGATAATTTAAGAATCTCAACCTTTAGGCATGAGACAGAAAAGGTCCTCTCCAGCTATTAGCATGTCCTCTGGACTCATAAATCCAGTTGTTGATTAAGTATTGCCACGTGGAATCTCACAGTTATCTTAACATTTATAGGATCAAAACAGACTTACAAAGATCTTAAGCTTAACTTTTGCCCCACTCACTATCTTGGCCATCTCAGCTAATAGCAACTTCATCTTTTGACGTGTTTGGTAAAAAGCTTGGTTTCATCTTTGATTCTTCTCTTGGTCTCACAGCCCATATCTAATCCATCAAGAAATCCTGTGAGCTCTGTCTTAAAAGCATACCCGAACTCAACCTATGCTCACCCTCCACGTTGGCCCACGGTCACCTTTTACCTGCATTATTGCAGTGACCTCCCCACTGGCCTCCAGCTTCCACACTTGCCTCCTCAGACTATGTTCTCAGTACAGGATTGACTAATAGAAAACCTAAGTGGTCACATTTCTACAGGGGCAAAAAAAGAGAAGAAAAAGAAAAAAGAAAACCCAAGCAGGAGTGTATCTCAGCTCTGCTCAACACCTGCTAGAGTAAAAGCGTTAGCCCTTGCAGTGGCCCTCAGGGGCCTCTACTGCCTCTGACCTCACCTCCTCCTCTATTCCTTCTCTCTCTTTCTCCTCCCTCATGGGAGGCCGCTGACCTCAGGCTTTTGAACTTGCTATTCCCCCTGCTGGGAAACTTTTCTTTCTCTCTTTTTTTTTAAAGACAGAGTCTCACTGTAGAGGGCAGGGGTGTCATCACAGCTCACTGTAACCTCAAACTCCTGGGCTCAAGCAATCCCCCTGCCTCAGCCTTCCAAATAGCTGGGACTACAGTTACCTGCTACAACACCCAGCTAGTTTGTCTATTTTTAGTAGAGGCAGGGGAGAGGGGGTTGTCTCCCTCTTGCTCAGGCTGGTCTCAAACTCCTGAACTCCCACCTCCCAGAGTGCTAGGATTATAAGCTTGAGCTACCTCGCTCAGTCTGCTTGGAAACTTTCTACCACATGACTCCCTCCCTCTACTGCAAGGATCGCCTCAAATGTCACTTTCTCTCTGAGGCCTACTCTCTCCAGCCACCCCCTCACCTCACTCCCTGCCTCCCTAGCACTATTCTAATTTCTCTACAGCACTTCTCACTTTTAACATATTTTGTGATTTTTCCTCTTGTCTCTCTCTACCCACGAAAGTGGATGCTCCATACTAAACTGGATTTTTGTCTTTTTGGCCAAAGACATACTGCTCCCCAGTGCCTAGAAGAGTGCCTGACATGCACAGATGCTCAGTAATTAGTTACATGAATAAGTGAATGAATGAATGATTTATACTCATTATCAGCAAAAGATAAAAATACTTTAGCCAGAAGAGGAAAGATAGCACTAGTTTTTGTTTTGGGGTTGTTTTTTTTTTTTTTTTTGAGACAGAGTCTCACTATGTCACCCTTGGTAGAGTGCTGTGCTGTCACAGCTCACAGCAACCTCAAACTCTTAGGCTTAATCTATTCTCTTGCCTCAGCCTCCCAAGTAGCTGGGACTATAGGAGCCCACCACAACGCCCAGCTATTTTTTTGTTGCAGTTGTCATTGTTGTTTAGCAGGCCTGAGCCAGGTTTGAACCCGTCTGCCTTGGTGTATGTGGCCAGCGCCCTAAACACTTGAGCTACAGGTACCGAGCCAGCACTAATTTTTTAACATTTGAAAATATATTTAAATACACAGCTTAAGGAGAAAAAAATTAAGTCTTCATGCCAAAAGTGTTTGCAGAGTGGCTAAGAAAAGGTAAACCTTTGGGTGTTTGACCTGCCAATCAAAACCCCAGCTAAAAACCATCCTGGAAAAGTCTGTATTTGGTTAATACTTTGTTGTGCTGTTTTTGCTTTTATTAAAGGGCCCAAGAGATGGATGAAGCTCTTGCTGAGTTTATCAAGAGGACTCTCTTGAAAATCCCCTTGACTGAAATGACAACAATCCTAAAAGCCTGGGATTTTTTGTCCGAAAATCAGCTGCAGACCGTGAATTTCCGGGAGAGAAAGGAATCTATCGTTCAGCACTTAGCTCTGCTGTGTGAGGTAATATGTTAAAAGTGATTAGTCTTCAAAAACATGCAACCCCTTTGTGGTTGTCTTTTTTCCTATTCTTTAGTCCAAAAGGGATTTAAAGCAGCTGCTAAACTGTTTGTGATGAGATCTGTATATTCCCTGCACTGTAGCTAATTTTTAATTGGCTTTTCCAACTTAACAAGGAGTAGTTACAAACAGGAAGAAGGAAAAAGTGAATGAAAGAAAAAAAATGCAAATTAAAATAAGGAGCAGCATTTTTTTCTTCTTATTTTTTTAACCTAGCCAATGATCAAAGATGAAAAGATAACACCTAGATATATTGGCAAAGTTGTGAGGAAAGAATTACTCTTTCGGCTCGGTGCCTGTGGCTCAAGTGGCTAAGGCACCAGCCACGTACACCCAAGGTGGCAGGTTCGAATCCAGCCCGGGCCCGCCAAACAACAATGGGCTGCAACCAAAAAATAGCCGGGCGTTGTGGCGGGCGCCTGTGGTCCCAGCTACTTGGGAGGCAGAGGCAGAAGACTCGCTTGAGCCCAGGAGTTGGAGGTTGCTGTGAGCTGTAATGCCACAGCACTCTACTCAGGGGGACAGCTTGAGGCTCCTGTCTCAAAAAGAAAAAAAAAAAAAAAAGAATTACTCTTTCTTTCACGCATATTTACTTATTTGCTTTTTGTCTTGAAATGTTTTTAGACTCTCAGAAGAGTTGCAAGTATAGTACAAAGAATTTTCATGTTACACTGTAGCCTTCCTTTATTCACTGTTAAATAAATATACTTTTTGGCCTGACATGGTGGCTCATGTCTGTAATCCTAGCACTATGGGAGGCTGAAGTGGGAGGATCGCTTGAGCTCAGGCGTTCAAGACCAGCTTGAACAAGACCGAGATCCTATCTCAGCTAAAAGTAGAAAAACCAGCTGGGTGTTGTGGCAAGCACCTGTACTCCCAGCTACTTGGGAGACTGAGGCAGAAGGATCGCGGAAGGTTGCGGTGCACTAGACTGAGTCCATGGCACTGTATCCCAGGAGACAGAGTACCACTCTATCTCACAAATAAAACTATAAATATAAACAGCCGGGCGCAGTGGCTTATGAGTGTAATCCCCGGCCAAAACTGCAAAAAAAAGAAAGAAAAAGAAAAGATGCTCAAAATCATTAGTTATTAGAGAAAATACAAATTAAACCCTCGATAAGGTCTCTAACACACTTAATAGAATGATTAAAATTTAAAAGATTGATCATAATTAGTGGTCAGTGAAGCACATTGCTTCAAACTAGAGGAGAGACAGGAGCTCTCCTGCAGGAATTTGGTAACAGGGTACAGCACTTTGGAAATGTTTGGCAATTTCTTTAAAGGTTAAGACTCATGTTTACCATGTGATTCGGCCTATTCCCCTTCTAGGCATTTACCCAAGAGAAATGAAAACATGTCCACACAAAGTTGTACTCTAATGGCCACAGCAACATTATTCCTTATAGCCCCAAAATGGAAACAACCCAAGTGTCCATCAGCAGGTAAATGTGTAAACAAATCATGATATATCCATACAATGGACGAGTACTCAGCAATAAAAACGAATGAACTCTCCACAGATGCAAAATCATAGATTAATATCAAAATAATTATGCTTGGTAAAGGAAGCCTGACCCTCACCCCCTAAAAAAGAGAGTACATACTTACTTAACAATCACGTGAAACTCTAGAAAATGCAGACAAATCAGTAGTGACAAAAAGCAGATCATTGGTAGCCTCAGGACCCAGGGTTGGGAGGGAGAGAAATGAGAACAGAGAATGGTGGGAAGGGGAATATGAAAGAGGCATTCAGTAATTTGGTGGGACCGGTCACTGTGTGGTGACTGTTTCGTGGCTATATCTGCAAGTCAAAACTTAACCAAACTGTACACTTTAAATATGTGCAATTTAATGTGTGATCATTATACCTCAATAGAGTTTTTTTTTTTTTTTTTTTTTTGAGACAGAGCCTCAAGCTGTCCCCCTGGGCAGAGTGCCGTGGCATTACAGCTCACAGCAACCTCCAACTC